CAAGTATATACATGGGCTAACATCAAACTAGCCATGAGTAGTTCTCCGATACTTAACAAATCGTTGTGTGCTCCTCCGTGTTCACACAGATGCTGCTAGTAGTCTCTTTCATAGCCAAGGTTACATCCTTGAACAACTGTGGTGAGAAGGGTATTTATGATTCTGTGATCCATAACGACTTTTTAGTCATGATTACTTTTCAAGGCGCAACGGTGATCATTAAAGAATTATAATTCGAAGAAACAAGAAGTGAATATTATCTTTCGACATTCAAAATTTCAACCCTAGAAGCAAGGTGAAGTTGTACTTGAAGTTATGTGATGAATTTCTGTGAAGTCTCCTCAATTAATTTGCTACTATTTATGAACCTGCTAAAATGATCTCGAAGCATTGGTCTCTCTGTTATTTTCTCTAAAGTATTTCAAAGTTGAAAGTGCTGATTTTCAAGAACCTTTACAAGATGCCTCATATGCCGAATGTGCGTTCAAAGTCAAATTTTGAAGAAAAGTCCAACTATTCAAGATGAAGACATTCATGCGGAAACTTATATGTTCATTTTGAAGTTGTGAAGAAATCAAAGATAAAATCTGAAGCCAAGAACAAAGCAAAGATTGTTAGGACATAAGAAAAAAAGCTATAAACCAAGGGAGAGATTGTTAGGTCATAAATTGTGTTTTATACTTTTCTTTTCATAAGCTATTAGAGTTCTTGGTCTCGGACCAAAAACACCATGTTTTGGTGTTGTTTGGAACACAATTGCATGTGAATTCGGTTAGGCTTAATGTTGCTTTGTTTGGGTTTTGGGCTTGGGCTTTGTTATTAGGTTTAGGTATAAATAGTGTTATCTTATCCTTGTAATGAGCGAGGGATGTTTTTGGGGCTGCCAGATGCTAGGAACATGATTTAGAGAGAAACAAGAGAAAACCAAGTGTAATCAAGTATCTTATGTACCTGACTATTCATCAATAATAGTGTACATTGAAGATTAACCTTTGTGTTCTTATTCTATATTTCGTCTTGTCTAATTCAGTTGATTGGGATTCTGCACCTTCAAGTGAACCCGATTGATACATCAAAGCATTTTTAGGACTTACAGATCGCTACACAACCATTGCTGAGATGGTTGCTGATGCAACCTCCGTAGCCATGACAGCTGCAGGTGGTGGGATAGGGTAGGTCTTTCAGTATTAGGACTTCAATAATACAACACCCATATTTTTGATGGAGTTCAGGACCTTATCGCGGACATGAGGTGGCTATCTAATGGGAGGGATGTTCTCTACTTGCTCATGCCCTGCTGATGAGAAGGTCAGGTGTGCTCAGAACCTTCTAAGGTCCGGAGCGAACGATTGGTGGAGACTAGTTACATGATCGTATTCTACTGAGCAGAGGGCTGTTGTATCTTGGGATTAGTTCATGGAGATGTTTCGTACTCGCTACGTTCCACGGGTCGAGCAAGAGAGGTTGGATCATGAGTTTTTAGACTTAAGGCAAGGATCAGAGTCGGTGACAAAAATCAACCGGATGTTTACTGAGAGGGATATATTTTGCCCTGAGTTTGCTTCAGATCTGGATCAGATGAACCGTTATATGAACATGCTCAAGACGGATATCAAACAGTTTGTTTCTACCTAGCGGTGTAATTCGTTGCTGGAGTTGTAGGAGGGGGCAGACGGTACGAGCTTGAGATAGAGATTCGGTTAAGGGAGCAGAGGCCGACCCTAACACATTCACAACCGGTGCCAAAGCAGCTTAAAGCCACTGTTCTAGGTCTGCAGGTCAATGAGGCCGCACTTGTGGGAAGTGCGGAAAGGTTGATGATGAGGTATGTCGTTCAGGAGGGGTATCCCACAAGTGTGGTAGGGAGGGGCACTATGCGATGGATTGCTGTGAGTTAGCCCTAATTCTGGGGTGGAGGATGTCATGTAGAGTATCATAACAATGCATAATAGTAAAGACAAGCAACAACATCCATTGCATTAGTATAATAATTGTAATACAAGCATGTTCTATACAGTTTGTTAGACACCAAAAGTATAATCAAAATAAAAGATGAGTCTTGTATGTGCTCCATCTTCTCAAAAGCTGCATTTGTACCTGTCTACTAATGACCTGAGAATAAAAGTTATTTTTAAAACGAGTATCAACATAAAGCTGGTGAGTTCACAAGTATTTAGTGTCATTGCTTGTATGAAAGTGTTTCAAATCATGTAATATAAGAGCTATTATCAAGGTTTGAAAATAGTATGATCCCTAGAAAATCCTATATTTTCCAGCAAAAGTAGTCTTCTACCAAGACTCGGTTATTTGTATGTTTGATCCTTTCAAAATGTAAAAGTTTTCCCAGTGAAACTATCAGTATGAAAATATAGTTTTAAATTTCGTTCATATAAAGTAATTTGGAAAATAATGTTTTACCCCAGCAGTGTCACTGCTAGTTGAATGTAATAAAGATGCAAAATCTAGGTAGTATTAAGTGTATAATACACCTCGGGGAGTCCGTTTTACCTTTAATTCTTAATGTGTTAATTAAAGGTCTGAATGTGAACTCGTATGTAACCATGCTGATTGACGATCACTACTAGAAAAAAGACCTTTAATGACGCGCAAACAATGACACGCGCTGATAGACGATACGCATTTGTGCGTGCCCTAAAAAATAATGTCAGTTTTGAAAAATATGAAGGATAGAGGGCACCGCATTTGTGCGTGCCCTAAAATTAGTGTCAGAAAAGAAAAAAAAAGAAAATGCGGAGGGCATCTTTCATAAAACGTGTGTCATCTAAGAGTGTTGCTTTATAATTTTTTAATGAAACATGCGTTTTAAGCGGGATTTCACCCGCCTATATTGGATCCCAAAGATTAAACCCCCCCTCCCCCACGCCTCTTCCGATTAGCAAGAAAAAGCCCTAGGGCATTGGTCTTCATAGCAGCATCGCACCACCACCCAACCTCTGATCTCGCACCGCCAACTGTCTCCGACAATCTTCTCCAACCATTTGGGAGAAGTTGTTTCCAAACGTTTCAACATTTCATTACGTTTGACTAGCTTCTAAACCAATTTTCCCTTCCATCTTATGAAGACATCCTATTTTTCTTCTTGATCGATTCCCCCCTTCTCCTCTAATTACTTTCTCGGCTTCTCCCCTGACTTACAACAAGAAAACCCTAGTTCTTTACTTTAACTCGTTTCGCAAGATCAAGCGCTTACAACCATCATCTATGAAAGTACGTCTGTCTTCTTCCTCTTACAATCGTTAAGCCCTAACACCGAAAATTGAAAGTCAATTGACCCTCCGTTCGAAGAAAAAGGTAAGAATTTTCCTTTATTTATTCCATTCTGTTACTTTGACCTCATATTCTTCTATTCTTCGTCTTTTTTCTTCCAAATTATCAACTCTATCCCTATACTGTGTTTTCTTTAAATGGAGAACTATTCAATTTAGGTCTTGATTGCAATTTTCTCCACGAAGCCCTTCTTCAGTAGTAAGCTTTTTCTTCTTTTTCTGAAGGACCAATGCCCTTCTTTAGTGATTTCAAGATTGATGTAAGTATCAATGTTGAATTCATCTTTTTCCGATTGCTTTTCCATCTCAGAATGCAAATAGGTCTGGAACTTTACAGCATCTGTGATTTTAAGGGATGAACTTTCTTTTAAAGACCTTGCAAATTCCTTCTCACTTTTTGATTTTCCACTTAGAACTAAGACAACAGGTTGTTGGGACTCCATGTTTGCTATAAAAAATCACGATCCAGTTAGTATACACATATCATAAACACTGGATTCTACAATCTTAGATGATAGTGATACTTAAATTCTAATACTTAAATTGGTGTGTTTAAGAATTTGTAGGTCCCACATGAAGGAACAATGTGTGATCTGTTAAGGTCGGATCCAGATGATAGATGCGGGTAGGGGTTCTCTCCACATGGGGCTGGGTACACATTCGGACAAGACATCGCGTCTCACTTCAACTATACAAATGGGCTTACTCTCATCTCCAGAGCTCACCAGCTTTTCATGGAGGGTTTCAACTGGTGTCATGTATATTTACTTAATTAGCCCTCCATCCCTCTATCCCTCTTTAATGATAATTATTAATAATTTTCTGATTGATATTAGGACAAGAATGTGGTGACAGTGTTCAGTGCACCAAACTACTATATGACAGTGTTAATATCAGTTTCCCTGTTCTTTTTTATACTTGATGCACCTTTGATGTATCAAGTTGCCTATGTTTTCCTTGTCATATCTGATTTTTGGAAGAGTATGAAACGAGGAATGGGCATGGTTATGTTCTTTATGCACAGTGCTTCTTACTTCAAAAACATATTTGGATTAGTATGACCTCATTGGCAAGCTGCGTTCTATTAAGCATTATCTTCTTCTGGATCAGGTTAAATTTTGATTGTTGTGTTTTTGTAGTTTAAATTTTTTGAAAACACCAGTGGTGGTAGCGATGATGGTAGTGGCACTTTCTTTTTGTTATTTTTTTTTCAGAAAGATTACTTTAGCCATGACATGTGGAGTTCTTGGAATATAGATGTGGACCCAAATCTAGGTAAAACGTATTTTGTATAACTGGAAAGTTTTTTCTTTACAGATTAATCATCATCTAAAAATGAAAAAAAAATGAAAATTATAAGAAAAAGAATTATATCAATATTATTTATCTTCTATCTTCTATATTCTGTAAAAAATGAAAAAAAGTGTAATTCATATTTAATTACATGTACTTTATAGCTTTTGCTATTGTTTGGGCAAAACTTGAGCATAAAGGATTTCATTCCAACTATCAAGAACACCAGCTAAACACCAATAACCAATGGAATCATGGAATGGAAAAAGGAAGGAATGAAATAAAATGAGTTTTATATATTTTATGTAAATACAATTACTTAATTATGTACATAATTTTAATTAAAATTAACGAACCATTACATTACTTTCCAGATTCCATCATATACGAGACACCACCTAAATGAGGTCTTACGTTCAAATGTTTGTGGACATTGTGGACTACTTTGTTGGCACTGCTGTAGGGGTGGATAGCAATCTCCATGAAGAAGCTGACTTAGTTGTTGAACATGGAAAACCGGTAAATGACCATAACACCCCTGATCTAAATTTTCCAGACACTGTTGTCCCTGGCATGCCTGAATTTGATCGGAAACTTGGTGCACCTGCAAAAAGGTTCAGCCCACCATCAGCAGGGGATTGTTCGACCTTTTCTCATATACCTTTTAATTCGGTTATGGTGCGTGTTTGTTTCGTTGTCAATTTCATTCCTCTTTTTTATTGAAAGACCGAAATACCCTTATTATTACTTTAGATAAAAAATTTGTTAACAAATCCCATTTTGTTTTATCAAGATGGCTCCGTTGGTGACCTTGCAGAAGAAGGTGTATATGTCAATACTAAGAAGAGAGCTTCCTAAGCTTCTAGGATTGTCTTTTGGAACTTGTAGTCATCAATCCTTGGAGAATATTGTGAGCCAACATCTCTCCTTCTATGCTTACTATCATGAACATTTAGCAGGTAAACATTTTGTCATGGCTTGTTAGTTTTTTTTTACCAAAATTAGACAAGGGTAAATTAGTCATTTTTCATAAATTTGATTACTGGACAAAAAGTGCTATAAATCATTGCATTAGGGACTTAAAATGAAAAAAAAAAAGATTCCTTTTGGACCGTATTCAAAGAACACAATATAGTACAGGGACCAAAAATATAAATTACTTGAGAAGTAGTATTTGATTGTTTGTGTTAATGCAGGTTACACAACTACGTAAAGCAGGTAGTCATCCTCACCTCTTTGCTGGTATAGAGCCAGAACCATATGAAGAGGGTGAACACTTGGTTCAGGTATAAAAAATATATCATCTCTATTAATTTATAAAATCATACAAAATGTTAGTAATAAATTTGAAACCTTTGTGATTTCTTTCAGGCAAGTGGAAAACTGGTAGTCTTAGACCAGCTACTTCAGAAGCTACATACGTCTGGACACCGTGTTCTTCTGTTTGCACAGATGACACATACACTTGATGTCTTACAGGTTTACTTCATTATCTTTTTATAAAAAAACTGCCAGCTGTCAGTTGTGCTTATGTATATCCATCTGTTATTATTTAAACTTAAACTTTTTTGGAAAATTTTGAAATACAAGACTATATGGAGTTGAGAAAATACCCTTATGAGCGGCTTGATGGATCCATCAGAGCTGAAGAGCGGTTTGCTGCAATACGGAGTTTTAGTCGAAAGTCCGGAATTGGAAATTCCAATTCCGAAGCTGATTCCGACTCTGCATTTGTCTTCATGATTTCCAGCAGAGCAGGGGGTGTTGGGCTGAATCTTGTAGCTGCTAATACTGTGAGCTTTGCAATACTAACATCTATGGAGCAGGGTGTTTAATTATGATCTTTGCAATATGGAGTTTTTCTAATTTTCACAAAATCAATTAAAAATATTTTAAGCTGTTAATTAAGGACATCAAAATATTATGTCTAAGTGATGACCATACAAGGGCCCTAGGCAAATTTTTTTGGAACTTGAAGATATTATTACCAAAAAAAGCATAATGTGATTAGCTTGCAATGTATTGGAAAAAGTGATTGCATGTGCATGGCTTTGAGACAATTCCTTATTTGGGTATCACATCTCCCACTTAGATTGCAAAAATTTCTGGAACTTGGTTGTTGTTGTACCCATAAGCCACGAAGGTATATGAATTTTATTTCCAATTACTCAATGACGACTTGTTGTGTTTCAAATGAGATCTCACTGTTATTACAATATCACCCATTTGATGATACAGGTGACAAGGGAACGAGCATTGAGAAATTGGGTCTTTGAGGAAACTGCTGGAAACATTCATAGGGAGTTTGGATCTGGCTATCCTGGAGGTGAAATAACTATTGCTGCTTTTTATTATTAAAGTAGTTCAACAGCCATGGAATGTGATCATACAAATTTTCCTACTGTATCTATGTGATATTGTGATTATTTCATGAATTTACCTGTCCAAGTGTAAAATGTTTGGGGTTTTGCTTCATTTTGTGTTTTCTAAGTAGATTTTTACACTATTGTTGGATGAAAATACCCCTGCTGTTTGTTTCCTCTATTCTTTATTTTTAAGATGTTTTTGGACAAACAATTTATTGTGTTTTATAAGCAGATTTCAAGAATATAAAACAATTTAGGTAATCAGAACTTATGATCTTCATTTGTCTCCTATGTGTTTATAATTTTGTCTAGAACTTAAACTTTTTCATAAGTTCTGATTACCTAAATTGTTTTACCTAAATTGTTTTATATTCTTGAAGATGTTTTTGGACAAACAATTTAAGATGTTTTTGGACAAAATTATTTGTTTGTTGTTTGTTTCTTTTTGGACAGTCATATATAGACTGATGTGGTTGGTTGATTTGTTATTAAAAAGCTTAAATTGTTATATATAGACTGATGTTAAATTGTTTGTTTTTATTATATATAGACAGATACTAAGTTGTTTGTTTGTTTGTTTGTTTATTATATAACAATCTAGAAAGATACTAACTGATGTCATATATAGACAGATACTTAGTATCTGTTTCATTTTGACTTAATGGACTTAATGACTCAATCAAAATCCTCTTACAATCTAGAAAAGGAACAAGCTTTATCAAGATAGACATCATCATTTACGTATGTTAAGGGGAAAAAAGGAGAAAGGGCATACTTAGTTTTTAGTTTTGACCTTGTTTTTTTTAATAAATTACAGGTGGTTCCATTGTTAATGAAAGCTATCCTCTTACAAACTTATGCAGGTAACAATATTGTTCATAGCTGGGTTGTTAATGTTCCTGTTTGTTTTCATTTATGCAGGTAACAATCTTGTTGAAAGGACTTATGAATCAGATATTAATGGTAACAAGTTTAACACTCGAGTCCATACGATTAGATGTTAATGGTAACAAGTTTAACACATGTGTCTTTGTTATACATACAAATTAAATGCACTGGATTGTATTTTTTGTATATGGTATTTTATTTTATATTATGCAATGGATTGTATTTTTTATATATGATATTTTATTTCTATTATGAGAGATTAAATGCAAATTTAATTTATAAATTGATAAATATATATATATATTTTTTTTAAAAAAAAATTAAAATTACGATACGCAAAAATGTGTGTCGTCTTCCTTTATGACAGGGCCTTCCTTGATACGCAATGCGTGTCGTAAATGCGCGTCGTCTATAGACGACGCGCAAAAGCGCGTCGTCTCTCTTTATGACAGGGCCTTCCTTGACGCGCATTTGCGCGTCGTCTGAGCGTTTTACGACGCGCAATGAGCGTCGTAAAAGGCCTTTTTTCTAGTAGTGGATCGAATAACAGATGACCCTCCAGGTCATACGTAGCATGGTGACATTTTGTCACCCCTGGGACTAGTCGGCTCGAACTGTAGCTAGCAGTCTGGATGTGGGAGTGTCTGTCCCGTATAGATCTATACACATAATGCCCACTCTCCCTCCAGGAGACTCTGGTTACATGGTGATCGCACAGTGAAGTGTCGTATCGAGAAGTAGTATGTCACATTCTATTTTAGTGTATTCTCTTGTATTAGAGTATAATGTACTTCTTGGTATAATGTATTGAGTGTTCTCTTTTATAGTATATAGTATTCTCTTCGTATAGTATTTAGCGTGTATAGACTCATAACTGTAGTAAGTGTCATGGTAATAATAGTAATGAGCGGTAATCCTTAACTATACCTATTATAGTTAAATAGAGATGTTAGCTGTATGCCTTTGATACACAAAGGTATTGAACTGAGGTGAAGACTTTTATATCCAACACAAATATATGTAATATATAACTAATAATTCAACGATAGTCGGACAGATAACAGGATACCCTAAGTCCACAATCAAACAAGAACAGGAAGTAAGGTGAGTTATCAGTTCTAAGTCCTTCAATTCTTACTTATATAACTATATTGGTGTAGATATGATTTAGTAACAAAAGAAATTTAAAAGAGTTGGAAATAGTTTTATAACAATTTAACATAAAAATAAGTTTGATAAACATTTAAAACAATTTTGTTAGCAAAGCCGTTAAAAGTATAGAAAGTCCTTTTGGTTGTAAGCTATAAATCACATGTGATTGGTACTATAACTTTGTTTGATTCAACTTTCATTCCCCCCATAAAAGCATTTAAAAACATTTAAAAGGTTGATTAAGGGGTATGAACTCACCTGTAGTGAGTGATGCGACGGTAGGATCGATTTAGGAGGTTGAGTGTCAATTGTGGACTTGAGCACAAACGGATCCTGTTAACCATATCATGACATATATATATATATATATATATATATATATATATATATATATATATATATATATATATATATGTGTGTGTGTGTGTGTGTGTGTGTATGTATGTGTGTGCAATTAGGGTTTGGAATAACTAATTATTGCATTGGGACCAATTTAGGGGCTAGTAAACACTTATTATGAAGTGTTATAACCATATAAGATTGTATATGAGTGGTGTATGAATGTACAAGGGAGTGTATGGTTAAAATGCACAACAAATGTGTGTGTGCGGACACGGTGTGTGGCCAGGAGGCGTGTACGGTTGCACAAGGTGTGTGCGGCCGTACATACTTGAAGATCATGGGAAATGACGTTTTTCAGGTATATGTTCAAGTGTTCTTGGCCTATAAACAAGTTATACATGCATTATAGAGGCTAGAAAAGGGTGATTAGTGTCCAAAAATTAGTGTGTGTTCTTGGTGTTCTTGATGATTTAACACCAAAAACGTGTTATCATGGCTCAAAGTGGGGAAGAAGGCTAGTCAAGGTCATGTAACAGTTAATCAAGGGATGAATCACTTACTTGCTTGAAGATTGGAGTGAAAAGTGGGATGACACTTGAGAGGATTTCGAGTTCAAGCTTGAACGAGTGGGAAAAGTGTTCAAAATGACTAAGTATGGTATATATAGATGAGAGTGTGTGGTTGGGATAGGTGTGTGGACGCACACACTTGTGTGTGGCCGCACACTCCATGTTTTGGAGTGCTTGGCCCGATTTTTCTTAATATGCATTGTGTTATCCTGTTTCTAGGTTCCTACCTTATTCGTATTACGTTTAGAATGCTCCAATAGACCCCCAAATAGTGTTAAAAGCTAACGAAATGGTTCTAACTTGGATTCAATAGGTCTCTTGTACAAGAAAGAAGTTTCGGGTTGTCATGGTAAGGCGGAGTCCCCGAGGGCTCAGGGTTACGCTTTTCAGATCACCGCTGAGGAGGCCAGAGTAGCACCAAATGTTGTAACTAGTATGTTTCTATCCCTTATCTTATTGATTATTATGTTCATATGTTTGTACCTCTGTTAGGTACTTTCTTAGTGAACTCCTTGCCTGCTCTTGTTTTTTTTGACGAGGGTGCGAGTTGGTCCTTTGTTTCTCGGTCTTTTTGTAGGGGGTTTTCTTTTCGCTTAGGGGGGTTGGAGTGTCTGTTGCTAGTTTCTATCACCAATGAACATGGGATTTATGGTTCTTCGATTTATCAGGGTTGCGTTCTGGAGATCTTTGGGGTATCCTTTCCGATCAATTTGATTCCTATTCCCATAAGGGGTGTCTGCGTGATTGTAGGTATGGATTGGTTGGTCCGTTTCGGTGGCATGATTGACTATGAGGGTCTGCATGTGGTACTTTGAGCCCTAGGTGGGGGAGAACTAGTTATTTACGGAGAGGGCACCAGGATGATTTCAGGGGTTTTCTCACTAGTATATTAAACACGGGTGTGCAGGTTATGTGGCTTATGTAGTGGATACGCAGGTTAGGGAGCATGTGTCGGTCGTTGATGTTCCAGTGGTTAGAGAGTTTGCTGATGTGTTTCCGAAGGTGTTACCCGATGTGCCTCCTATGAGGCAGGTCAACTTCAGGATTAACCTCGTGCCAGGTGCGGCCCCGATTGCCAGGGTGCTATACCGATTGGCACCACTAGACATGCTGGGGCTATCGTCTTAGTTGTAGGAGCTTCTTGGCAAGTAGTTCATCTGTCTGAGTAGTTCGTTGTGGGGAGCACCAGTTTTATTCATCAAGAAGAAGCATGGTTAACACCGGATGTGCATTGATTATCGGGAGTTGAAAAAGTTAATATTGAAGAACCATTATCCCCTTCCACGGATTGATGATCTCTTCAATCAACTCCAGGGAGCATTTTGGTTCTCTAAGATTGACATGAGTTCTGGGTACCATCAAATCAAGGTGAGGGAGGAAGAAGAAAGAAGACCGTGTTTCAGACTCGTTATGCACATTATGAGTTCATTGAGTTGCCATTCGGGCTCACCAATATGCCTACGATATTTATGGATTTTATGAATCGGTTATGCAGGCCGATGCTTGATCATTCAATTATCGTATTTATTAATAATATCTTGGTGTATTCCAACACCAGAGAGCACCATAGGGAGCACCTTCATGAGCTTCTGGAGGTGTTGAGGTGAGAACGACTTTATGATCAGTTCTCGAAATGTGAGTTTTGGTTACGAGAGGTTCAGTTCCTTAGTCATCTCGTTAACCAGGATGATATTTTGGTCGACCCGACCAAAATAAAGGCGGTGGTATAGTAGGAGGTTCTGAAATTTCCTTCAGATGTCAGGAGTTTTGGGGATTGGCAGGGTACTACCGGAGATTCATTCATGATTTCTCCAACATTGCAGCACCCCTCACTCGTCTGATGAGGAAAGGGATGCATTTTCTGGTGGGGCCCTAAGCAGCAATCAACATTTGAGACCCTTTGGCAGAGACTTTGTGAGGCCCTAGTTTTGACCCTCCCAGAGGGAATTATGGATTTGTGGTTTATTGTGATGCATTCATCACCGAATTGGGAGCAATCCTCATGCAGAGAGGACGGGTGATAGCTTATGCTACGCGGTAATTGAAGTTGCATGAGATGAGATATCCCATGCATGATCCGGAGTCAGGGGCAGTGGTCTTTTCCCTCTAGATTTGGAGACATTACCTTTATGGGGTTTGTTGTACTATCTAAACGGACCACAAGAGTTTGAGGCACATTATTGATTAGCCGAACCTGAACATGAGGCAACACAGTGGTTGGACGTAGTCAAGGATTATGACTACGAGATCCTTTACAATGCGGGTAAAGTGAATGTGGTAGTGGATGCTTTGAGCTACAAGTTGGCTTGACCACGTGTTGGGGCGTCATGCATGAGGATGTATGTGGATTCTCCAATTATGGGTTCGATTAGGGAGGCTCAGTCTGAGGGTGTTCGATAGGATAATTGGAAGATTAAGAGGATCAGGGGTGAGATTACCAGATTTGCTTTGGACAGTCGTGGTTTATTGACCTGTTGTGGTCGGGTTTGGGTCCTAATGTCTGGTGGGGCCAGACAGATTGTGTTGGAGGAGGCTTATAAGTCTCACTTTTCTATCTATCTGAGGGCTACCAGGATGTATCAGGATCTGAGATTGAGTTATTGGTGGCCGTGCATGAAGAGAGAGATCTTTTGGAACATTGAGAAGTGCTTGACCTACAAGATGGTCAAGGTCGAGCATCAGAGGCCGCATGACAAGTTGCAGCCTCAAGAGGTTCCCATGTGGAAATTGGACCAAATATCGATGGACTACATCACCAAGTTGCCGAAGACGGCAAAGGGTTTTGATACTATTTGGGTCATCGTGGATCGATTGACCAAGAGTGCCCACTTTCTGGAAATTCGGGAGAGCTCTTCGGTCTATGTTCGAGAAGGTGCCCACTTTCAGACTATGATGTTCGGTTCACCTCCCGATTATGGTAGAAGTTCCATGAGGAACTGGGCACGAGGTTGCATTTCAGCACAACTTATCATTCATAGACCGACGCCTAGAGTGAGCGGACCATTCAGACTCTTGAGGATATGTTGCGAGCATGCATTATTGATTTTCGTGGG